TGCAGCGGCAACAGCTTCAAGCAGAGCGAATACCACTTCGTCAGGCGACGCGAAGCAATCGAAAAAGTACTCGGAGCGGATTCGGCGTAAAGGTACAGGTTAGACATACCGTAAATAAGAACCCAAAAATAATCAGAACCATGCTTTGCAGAAGAACAAGCGAAAGATGCGAAAGATGACAAGGAGTCTCCGGCGCAGTCCAACGCAACTTAGTCGCAGATGCTCCTGCAAGCTTTTGATGGAGCACCCCCCAGTTCGCAAGGACATCATGTCCATTAGTGCTAGCGCTGGTCTTCAATCACCTTGCTCTTCTGTGATAGTTCAAGGTTTACAATAATGTTCTCATGTGATAGATTTCATTTCTCTTTTGTTCCAATCGAATGGGTGATGAGTAAGTGCTTCTATTTTCGTTTATATTCACTGGTCTTCTCTTAAATTACTCTCAGCACCTTGTTTTGGTAAATCTGCAACCCTCCAGAGTCCTTCCGATCACTTGACCTTTCTCTTGAACGTACAATTGTCATCAGAGATCAGTTGTTATGTAGTGACCATGGTTTGCGTTCTTCAAATCAACAAGTGTGTCATTTTTTTCTCCCGAACAGAAATGAATTTGCTGATTTTGATGTTTCATTTATTGAAAGAATGTAAAGATAGCGTCTACAACCATACGGCGCGGTTCGGTTTGGAAAGGGCATGCTGCACTCTCGCTGGTTCTTTTTGCTAACCCACACTAATGAACAGGCCACACCTCAGTGAGACCTGTAGACCCCTATGAAGCTACGAAGGTGCTCTTTGGTTGCAGGAATTTACAGGCCGTCACAAGTTGGCCCGAACTAGCTTCGCTAAATACTGTTTGGTACCCTCCAAGACGAACTGCGCGGCGTAGACTGCGAGATGGTGCAAAAAAAACTTCTAATGTAAAGCAACGCGGAGAGCGTCTTGCTTGAATTGGTGCGAGGGGGGAGAGGGAGGTGGGGGGGGTAGGATAGTTCAGGACATCCTAGTAGTGAAAGAGGAACTGGAAAAAAGTTCGTCTTGGGAGGCATTCGCACAAGGGCCCATCTGATTCAACTTGATGCTCTGCTTATTTGTTGCAAGTCGACCCTACGGAGGGAACACTGTTTTGCCTAGCAGTTAGGCTGCCGACGTAGATGGTCTTTATGCCCCACAGGCAATCGTTGTTAGCGAGTCCCAACAGGAGCGGTCGTATTTACGTTTTCGACGTATTGGTAGATATGGTGGTGACTGTTTGGTTGGATTTGTCTCGGTGTGTTGCGATGAAGGGGGTGTACGTGGTACCCCCCCCGTCCCCGCTCGACGGCTCGTTGCGATGAAGAGGGACACAGAGGGCCGTAAGGGGGGTGGAGGACGTACAGACTCGCACTCAGAAAACCCAAACCAATGATTGTGCCTTGATGCCCCACTCATAAATCTCAAGAACCCAGGAGTACAGACGACTGAGAGGGATCTAGTCGGTGGAAGGCACGTCCACATGTCCTAAGTCGTGATAATCACTTCCACAAGTGCAAGGTATTTCGCAACCTACTCTGGTCTGGGGCAAAGTCATAACTGAACACTCGAGACCAACAGAGCTTTAGCGAGCTTGAGTGAGAAGCGTAGGCCGCGCGGAGAGATCCTATTGGCCCTGCTAGCACTGCTGCATGGAAATTTGCGTGTCCTGGCGTCGAATATTTGCCCTATCGTCACCGAACGCCTTCGATGCACCACCTCTCGGATAGTCGCATGCCGCGAGTCCGAACTATTCTCAATTTACGACTATTGCCTATTGTGCGTATCCCTCCCCAACCCACAACGAAGGATTATACCGAGCGCCGCAGTTGCCCAGTCGCGCTTCTCATCTACGTGTCGTTATGAGCTGCACGCGTAGAGCACTATTTTCCACCAGTGGAAAGTGTGCTCGAATAACTCAGGATGACCACCTTGGTTCTAACCAGGCCATAAATGCTGCCAGTGCGCTCCCGTCAACAGCTTTCAATCGCTTGCGATGGGATTACCACATGTTATTTTCATTTACGTTTCCAGGCAATGACAAGAGGTCGAAAAAGGCTCTCTGAAGAACCATACTTCGCGCGCTTTCTCGCCTGATTGCAAAAAGCACTAGCCCCAAAGGCTTTCAGGGAAAAGGGGAAGATGAAAAACTGGACCCAGTTGGTTCCGTTTGCCATTTTTGCCCACGATGTCTTCAGCTAGTTCACAAGTATTGTGCTGTGTGTGTAGTGTTGTGCTGAATCCTGCTGTTCGTGGGAATTATGGTACCTCACGGTGAAATGATACATTACGAAAAACAGTTGATATGGATGGAAGTGGGATGCTGTCAGTCTCATTTCCAATGGAGCTCCAATGCAGGTCTGTTGTTCAAAGTGCTATAGGGTCTTACTCAGATTCGTCCCTAGCCATCGCCACGGCTGCAGGCGCTATGTGGCTGTGGACGCTGAGGCGTCTTAGCGGGATGTGTTTGGCACGGCTCCAGCCTGTTGCACCAATTGTGGAAGCAGATCGGTGATCAAAATTGATGGACAGTGGGCTGGCGCCAAACTCAGTCCCTAAAGTGCCCAGCGTCTGCAGTGAACATGACATAAGTCAGTGACATCCATCGTTTTTCAGCGGAACTGCTTTCATCACTCGATGAATTGTCAAGAATACGGTTTAATAGAAGTTTTGGGAGCTACTCTCGTTACAACTGCTGCGTTCGTTGTAGCGTCGTCTGTCTGCAACAAACCCAAGAAAACTAACCTTCAAGGAGGGAGCAAGAATAAGGCAAAGGTTAGACTCTTGCATCGTTACAGCCTATATCTCGAAGATGGACAGGGCGTGGCTGCGCGATCCATTCGATCATGGCGTGAAATGGTTTTCATAGGGTAGTCCCATGTGAGACAACTGTCACTCTGTCTGTGCTGGACAAACACACGCTCGCAAATGAATCGAACGAAACTATCCCACCAGAACGGAAGCCGTTACCACATTCGGATGAAGTATGCAGCCACGCCCTCCCTACCACTGGGATATGGAGTGAACATTGCATAAATGTAAAGGCCACAACGTTTTGGATATGGAATGTTGCAAACCCTACTACAGTATATACCCACGGCTTCACCTCAACCAGAAGTTCGAAAAACATTCAAAAACGTTTTGGTCGTTGTTATATATTCGGGAAATAACTGAATAATTTGCTTCAGAAAGCTGACGCACCCCGACCGTCATCGTCGTCAACGTCGAAGGAGAGCTTAACTCCTAGAGATAGCGCTCAGAAGGCAAAATCTGCACCCGCCAAGGAATCGAAAGAGAAAACGAAAGAGGAGTCGCCTAGAAGCAAGAAACCGGAATTGGTGACATGCGAAGACCAATTGGTTCTTTCTGTGGTTCAACCCCCACCAGTGGATTTATCGCAAGTGCCTCGGGAAATAATAGAACGACTGAACGCTGTAAAAACTCAGGTGGAAAAAGACGACGATGAAAAAGGCTTGTTGTCGCTGATGAAGACTCAGTCTCTGGAAGGCCCCGTAAAGGTTTCAGTTCGTCGGGAGCCACAAAAATTGATAAGCTCCCGTGAGCGTGAGAAGCCGCCTGGCGCAGTGGCCGCAAAGGCACCATCGGCACAGCCTCCTCTTTATAAACCAACCACATATGTAACAGCTCTCGCGGGAGCTACTAAACCGGTGATATTGCAAGAGGCTCCTGTAGCAGCAGCAGTGCCGGACGCAACACCTAAGCCACCTGAACCTGCTGGTGAACAGCTAGCATCTCCACTGACGGGGCAGAAAAAAGCTGCTGCAGCTCCGTCTATGACGACTCCCGTACCTCAGGCAACTGTAGCACCCGCGCAAACGAAGGGTGTGTCGATGAAAGCTGCTCCTCAGCCAGCGGTTCCTATTCCACCTGGGCAGCTAGGTGGGCCAAAAGCAGCTCCTCCTGGAGTTTCAGGAGCTGCTCAACCCCAGAAGGCGACACAACCAGCAGTTTCGGCTCCACCAGGCCAGCAGGGAGAGTCAAAACGGGCCGTTCCTGGAGTTTCAGGAGCTGCTCAACCCCAGAAGGCGACACAACCAGCAGTTTCGGCTCCACCAGGCCAGCAGGGAGAGTCAAAACGGGCCGTTCCTGGAGTTCTCAGGAGCTGTTCAATCCCAGAAGGCGATACAACCAGGAGTTTCGGTTCCGCCTGGCCAACAGGGTGAGCAAAAAGCCGCTGTACCTGGAGTTCCTCCACCGCAGAAGGCGACGCAGCAACCATCAGTTCTGAACAAGGATGAGACGGCGTTTCAGTCACAGCTCACATCAAAAGCAGCAAGTAGTGGGATCGTTGAGGCACAGATAAAGATAGCAGCAACAGTGGTTTCAGTACAAAGTAAAATGCCATCTGCTGTAGTTCCAAAAACTCCAACTGCGGGGCTAGGAGCCACGACAAATCAAGCTGGAGCATCAAACCAACCAGCAGTTGTTCTTCAAACACCTTTGTCATCAGCTCCATCCTCATCTAGACCCCTAGCGAAACCACCAGTGCCACCTAAGCCCACGACAACTCAGCTTCCATTAGGGAATAAACCGACAGCCGGACCATCGCTGGTAAGCCAAAGCGCCGATTCTACCGCAGTCTTCTGGTGTTCCCAGGGCAGCAGTTCCAAATCAGCAGTCGAAGAATGTTCCAATTCAGCCGTTAAAACTTCTTCAGTCTCAATATATTGACATACAGCCGGGTGCAGCCAAACCCTCATGAACTCGAACGCAGTCTTCACATCGTTGATATTCGCCACATTGTGCTTATAAGGTTATTTGAGATGTACATACATAGGACAAAGGAAAATTGATCATTTCTTTAAAAAGGCCATCATCAAATAAAGATTAATCGGTAACTTTGTGACAATCTTCTGAAGTGTGATAGAGAACTATGAAAGTTTACTGAGTACCGGCCATCCGCGTGTTGATGCTTTGGCATCTGGACAGTCGCCTATCACTGGAAGCCAGTCAGGGCTTTGCCTACGGAGCGTGGATTTTGGCTCGGCGATAGCTCCTTTCCCACCTCTCATCGAATGCCTAAGCCGCAAGCGATTTTTGGGAAACGGCTGGCGAAGCACGGAAAGTACGTTCCGATGAGACGCCTCGAGTGACCTCAGTGACAACAGCTGCATGATTGCGCATTTCGTGAAAATTCACAAATGAAGTCTTCGTCGATGATCAATCCCTTTGTGGGATGCGGC